TAGTCACTCTCCTTGTGTTAAATGTCTATAGCATTGAAAAACTTCAAATCCTGTGTTCTCAATAAAGTCCAATTCCTGTCAGGATAGCTCTGTTAAAAAAAAAAAAATCTCTATCTTGAATTAAAATTTGCATTATTCTAACTTCTGCTCATAGGTTGTATTCTGCCCCTCGGGGCCCTTCAGAACAAGTCACTCACATCATAGTCCATTAAAGATACAGTAAGAGTGATTGTGTTTCTCCAGGTCTTACCTTTTCCTGGCTTAAAATTCCCTATTGCTTTTCTGAGATGTTCATATGACATAGTTTCAACTCATGTCACTATTTCAAATATCTCTGCTAAGTATGCTCCAAGTGATAAATCTTTTTTGAAGGATGATACCTATAACTGGGCAAAGTTTTACAGTTGTGGTCCTTTGCACACAGTAAGAACCAGAACAACTCAATTCACTGAAACCTAGGTGATTTTAATTGTATTTACAAATTGGAATTCGGGGCTATCCTATCAGCTCCTCCTGACCCAGGATTTACCTGATTCACTCTAACATCAATCTAGCCTATGAATTCATATACAATTCTCGGTCAGTATCTATATATAAAATAGACACTGTAAAGGTTTTTTTTTTTCTATTAGTTATAGCTCAAAGTAATTATAGTGTCATATTTTTTCATCTTATCAAAAATAAGACACATTGTGTTAAGAAAAGAAGCTGTTGCCAAAAGCCTCCTTGCCCACTATGAATATAGAATGATTTGTCATTCTAGTAATCCCCTTATTCATTTATATTCTGAAGAAATATTTATTGAACATCCAATATATATCTTATTTCTGCTAGGTACAAGGGATATTCATAGTGAATAAAGGAGATCAAATAATTGACTTCATGAACTTTCTGTGTGAGTGTATAATATAAATAATAAGGGTAAAAAATATAAAATATAACTTCAGGTTGTGATACAGGCTCTAAAATAAAGAAATATAGTAACATAATAAGTCATAGCTGGAGGAGTGATTTAGGAAGAAGGGAGATTGATCTCTGAGAAGATGATATTTAAGCTGAATCCTTGTAAACTGTACATAAAAGAAACTGTCTATATGACCATGTAGGAAAAGAACACTGGAGAATTACCAAGCACAAACTCCCCAGGTGGGAAGTGGGTTATTGTGTTCTAGAAACAGAAAAGGAACTATATAGAGATCTACTGAGTGAAAATATAATATTATGGGGTAAGGTTGGAAGTTAGGCAGTAGGAAAAGCATACAGGTCTGATTAAGCTAAAAAATAGTCTGCATTTCTGTAGTCCAAGATAGAGATGATGGTGTCATAGGCTAAGATGTTGACAAACAAGATGGAGAGAAGTATATAGATTTAAGATAGATTTTTTTGTGTGAAATGATAGGACTTGTTAATGGATTAGGCAGGAAAAACAACTATTAGAGATCATTAGAACATCAACTTCACAAAAGCAGGCATTTTTGTTTATTATTTGTTTTCTTTACTATTTTCTCTCCAGATGCACTCATAGTGCCTACCACATAGTAAATGTGAAAGAAAGAAAGAAAGGAAGAAAGAAAGAAAGAAAGGAAGGAAGGAAGGAAGGAAGGAAGGAAGGAAGGAAGGAAGGAAGGAAGGAAAAGAAAAGAAGAAAAGAAAAGAAAAAAAAAGAAAAGAAAAGAAAAGAAAGAAAAAACCTCCCAGGTTTTTCGCTAGAGCAACTAGGTGAATGGGTATGTCATTAACTAAACTAGGAACTGAAGGAGAATTGGAAGAAGATAAAGACAGAGAAATTAGACGTTTCATTTAGGCTAAGTTTTAGATGTTTTCTAGGTATCAAAGTAGAGATGCTAAAGGAAACATTAGGCATACATGAGTCTGGTTTTTAGGAGGGACATTTGGGCTGGAGAGAAAAATGTGGAAATCAACAGCTTATAGAAGATACTCAAAACCATGAGGTTTACTGAAATAAAAAAAAAAACAACTAAATAGTCTCTGAAGGACACATTTTTTAAAAGATCTGATTAGAGAGATATAGGAGTCCTCCATTCTCTGCAGAGCATACATCTCAAGACCAGTCAAGGGATGACTGAAACCTTAAATGGTACCAAACCCAGTTGCCATCAATAAGAATACACTTTCTGGTCATGTCTTCTACCCACAAATTTAATGCTTTTTCCATCTTATCACACGCCGTGCCCATAACTTTTGCAATTTGAGGTGTGACCGCAAAAACTAGCATGAATTTCTTTTTCCTTCTTTACAATTTCACAAATAGAGTATCCATTCTTACCATGGATTTTAGCAACCACAGTATGTTTTTTTTTTCCATTAATTTAGGTGCGCACTTTTACCTTTTCACTTACAGGAGAAGTGTATGGCTTTTCTTTGGCATATCTGAATTGCCAGAGTCACTACTCTTGTGCTATAGAACCACTATTAAGTAAAATACAAGTTACTTGAACATGAGTATTGCAACAGTTGATCAGATAACCGTGATGGCTGGTAAGTGAATAACAGGAAGGTGGCATTTACAGCACAAATATGCTGGACAAAGGGATGATTCACATGCTGGGTGGGATGGAAAGAGATGAAGCTTTGATCTCAATATGAGGTTTGACATGCAATTTAAAACATTTTTTCTGGAATTTTTCATTTAATATTTTTAGTCTACAGTTGAATGAGGGTAACTGAAACCACTGAAAGTGAAACTGGACAAGAAGTATTACTGTAGATAGAACATGTTTATTAATGGAAAGATTCAATATCTTAAAGGAGTCATTCTTTAAAATAATCTATAATTGTAATATTTCAAATCTAAATTCTAATGTTTTTTCATGATACTTGATAAGTTAATCTCAAAATTTCTATGAAAATAAAAAATGGCAGCTATAATTTAAAGAAAAAAAAACAGATGAGCTATTTTGCCTAAAAGATACCAGGACTTAGTGTAAAACCATACTTAAGACATTATGGTACTGTTGCAGGGATAGAGAAATAGACCAATGAACAGAATAGAAAGTCCAGAAACTTGTGTACTTTGAAATGTTTCACTTGTCTATCATCCTATCTTTACATGTGGAGCAAGGTAAAAATAATTATATATTGCCAAATATTATTATATATTTAATGTATTATATCATGTTGTACATGTGTGCATGTATTTAAGTTTATAAATATTTGTGAATATGTGTATACAAATATATATGAGACAATGGAAACACTTATATATCTGTGTGGGTGGTGTGTGAAACGGTGGTAGGATTTCATGGTAAATGAGAAAGGGTCAACTATTTAACATATGATGGTGGTCCAACTGTCAACATTATTAAATGAAATGATCTCTACCTCATGTTAGATTATAAAAATATATTTCAGAAGGAATAAATATCTGTATTTAAATAATGATACTTTAATCTTTTAACAACATAATAAGGGAAATATGTGACAAATCTGTTGGCAGAATCTCTTAACATGGCACAAAACCACAAACCAGGGCACTCAGTAAGTACTTCATAAATATTTCTTAAAATAATTAAAAGGTGAATCATATGTTTACATAAAAGTTCTTAAAATCTTCTGTGACTAAAAAATTATTGAAAAATTATTTTTAAAAACCTGCACAACAGAGATATTTTTAACCAATGTAACAAATCAACTACAAAAAAAGACAACCAAACTAAAATTGGAAAATTGGAAAAGGATGTAAACAAGTCACAGAATTAGAAAGCCAAATAGTCAATAAATTTTTGCAAAAAGAATGTTCTCACTAGGAATCAGAAAATTACACATTAAAACCGATGAGAGATACTTAATACTCTTCAGATTAAAAAGGCATTTTAAAAAGTGATAACCTTGAGCAATATTCAAAATGTGCAGAGATGAGAACACATATAGAGTGTTGATGGGAGTACATTTCATTCAACAACTTTAGAGACCTCGTAGCAGATCTGTTCCCTCTGCAGTTTCATAGAAAATTGACATCTGTTGGGGGATCTCAGCTGCACGTCCTATAGATCCCACTTTTCCAGCCTGCTCTTACTTGTTAATCAACATTAAGTCCAAAGAAGCAGTTTCCCTCACAGTTTCCTCAATATTCTTAGAGATGAAATGGTCAGCAAGGCAAATCAAGACTTTAACGTATGCTTTACTTTTTGTAGAATGAGAATCTCAGCAGGTGTCCAGAGACTTAAAGCCCCTAATTTTTGTTATATTTCTCATCCTTATAATATTTGTGGTATTTATTAGAAAGTGTACATATTATATCCTGCTTCTTCTCAGACAAGAGTGTTTAAGATTGCCATATGTGTATCTTGATTCATGGCTTCAAAACAATTTGTCATGTAGAAATAATTCCCTAAAAGTATGTTGCTCTTCAGATTTTAAGAAACACCTGAATTGTTGACAAGAAAATACTTCTTATTTTTAAACCCATACCTTCTTTGATAAAAGAAAAAGAGTCAATCCTTTCAAACCATTCGAAATATCAAAATAATCACTAAAAATAAATCAAATCATTTGGACAAAGCACCATTGCCTCAGGAGATTCCAATATGGCCACTTAAGGAATGTCAGTCTTTTTCTCTACTCCCTTTTTAAGAATCACCTTAGGATAATTCAGTCCTCCATGCTCCAAATAAACATTTTGGCTGGGCACGGTGGCTCACGCCTGTAATCCTAGCACTTTGGGAGGCTGAGACGGGAGGATCACTTGAGGTCAGGGGTTTGAGACCAGCCTGGCCAACATGGTGAAATCCTGAAACCCTGTCTTCACTAAAAATACAAAAATTATCTGGGCATGGTGGTGCATGCCTGTAATCCCAGCTACTTGGGAGGTGGAGGTTGCAGTGAGCCAAGATCATGCCACTACACCCCGGCCTGGGTGACAAAGTGAGACTTGGTCTCATAAAAAAAAAAAAAAAAAAAAAGTATATTTTCATATGCATAAAAGCATTAGGAATTACATATAATTTTACAAACAAAAGACAGTAACTTAGTTATCATACCTGTGGACATAAGGTTTCCAAATGACTGGCTGCAATTTTGACAATTTTAATTCCATCTTCATTTGTCGACATGGAACAAGCAAGATTTGCCACCTTAAATATAATCCAAAATAATGGAAATTATTTTATATTCTCAAAGAAATGCAGAAACATTTTTACTGAACAAGAACATGTATACATTCATTGAGAAACTCAGTGACAAGTAACATTCTTGAAAACATCACTGGTATCTATTTTCTGAAAGAATTCAGAGAATCTAGTAAAGCAAATAACAATAAAAGGACTCAGATAATTGTTTACTATGAAAAGGAGAGACTAGCGAGTCAATCAGTAAACCCTATACAGTCTCTTGGTATCAACATCTAACCCATAAGAAGTATGAGACTGGGAAAAAACGTTTATGGATTGAATGCTAAAAGATTTTTGGAATCTCATAAGATTGTGATTTAAATTTGTAATTGGTTTATTATTTCCCAGAAGTCTATTACTCATATTTAAGTTGCATTAAGTATGACTGTATCTTCATACATGTTTTGTTTGCATCAAATACACTACAAAGCTGAACAAATACAAGATAATTAACTTCTTTTTCCTGTTCTTTTCTTTCTACTATAACTTCAGGGATACCGTTTGACATTCCAGTAGTGCATTTGATTCGAGCATTATTGACACCCAAATTTATATTATTGCTTTTGAAATTTACATTTTCTTCCAACAAAATGAGTGCTCTTTTAATTACCATTATGTCCATGACCTAACTCCAAGATTTACAGATATTTTCTTTAGACCATGAAAGAGCCATGATAAAGAGTGTGAGATGATTTTCTCTTCCTCTGAACCTCACTCTTGTTCAACATTCTTCTTACTAGCACAGTAAGGTTTATGGACAGAAGCAGTGTTTTCTCTGATCTGCAAAATGTATCACTGTCTTTATCACTGCAAGGAGATACTTTATCTAACAGTAATTTTTCTAACTTTAAAAATATCTCTGTCAGTTGTTTTATACTTTAACACATTGCAGTTTTTCCTGCTAAGATCTAAAATACATCCAGTTGTGGAGAAACCACACATTAGCCACATGCAGTGGAAATAAACAACATATGACTTTGAATCACTATTTTAAGAGTACCACAAAATGTTATTTAAACTGATTTATAGTCTTTGCTTTTTATATAACATTACTTTTAACATGCCAATAGTGAAATAACTCCTTGGTTTTCATTCACATATAATGAAATAACAGGCATATATTATTTAACTGTTGAAGGGCATTGTTCGCTTTATTAATGTACATGGGGATGACTTACTTGAAAAGGTCTTTTATTGGCTTGAAGGTCACAATGCCTTAACTTTCATATCTGACACATAATTAGCACATTTGTGAGTTATTTGAAAAGGGCAACAGTCTCTGTGCCCCTTTCTACTCCCCAAACCCCAGTCACTAAAAGTGAAACTTGACAGTCTAATTGCTTTAATATGTATCATATTAATTCACACTGCATTTGCAAAAAATATTGTCTGTAAATTTGAGCACTGCTTGTTTAAAGTAAAAAAAAAAAAAAAAAAAAAAAAAACTGAAACTAAAACTCCTTGGCTCAATGTGGTCAAATTAGAATGCTGGTTAACCCAAAGCGTAGAAATTACAGAAAACTGCCCCTATATAGATACTCTTTTATTTTACTTATTTTTAATGTATCCTCATTTTCTTCTTTTTCCTTTTGAAAATATACATTCTTCTTCTGGATATTTATTGGCCACCAGGCTTATTAAAAGCGGATTAAGTAACTCACATGGTATGGATATTATGTTAAATACAATGTGTGTCTATATTAGCAGAATTAATGTTATGCAACTCTGTAATGAAAACACAGCTGAACTTTGTGTTTTCTACTCAAAGTTTTCTGCTCATTCATCATACTAACACTCTTTTTGTCTTCATTTATTCTATGCCTATACATATCTGAACTTCTCCTTATTAGAACTGATCCGTCAAAGTTTCTAGGTAGTAGAGCACTATTTCAAAGCATGTGGAGTTTTAGTGCTATTTTGTACAAACAAGGTTGAATTTATAAGATAGTATCTTTGGCAAAACAGTAAAGTGTTAGAAGTAAAATATCTTTACATTTCAAATTTGAATGATTTTGTGATATATTTTCTAAAGTCACATCAATGTGTGAATGAAAGTCAAATGTCCTCTAATGATGATTCTTCCTAAATTCTGTGTGGCTCTTCTGTCAGGTATGTTCCCAAGAACAGTAGAAATATAATTCCCTACTGGTCAAAGAATATAGTCTGCAAATAAGATATTTTGTATATATAGTTTGAGATACTTGGACATTTTATATCCTTTGTGTGTCTGGGCAAAGCTTTATTACTATTCACAAGATCTCTGTAGAATGTTTTTGCTCACTAAGGGAAATGAGTATATCTCGAGGTTTTTGGAGACAAACAGATCTGGGTTTGAACCCAATTCCCACAATTAATAAACTTCTGATCGTGAGCAAGATATTAGATTATTTGACCTTGTTTTGTCACCTTTAAAATGTGTATAATAATGACCACCTCACTGAGATGCTTGAGGATTAAGTGAGAATGTGTGGGGAGGGGGGGTCTGATACCTGGTGGACCTCACCATGTATGAATTTCCTTCCATTCAATCTGTTTCTCAACTAATGGGGAAAAAAAAAGGGAAAAAATAAATTTAATTCTCTCAGATATTTTGGAGAATTAAAGCCTTAGGAGCCTAAAGAAATTGAATAATATGCCTGACCCAAGAGCCACAAATTCAAATGCTTTCAAGAGCCATGCAGGGGATACAGACATTGAGTCTAGATTGAACTCAGTGGTGGGGTGGGGTGGTGGGTCCCTAAGCAAAATGATTGTGTATGTCCTACTGAAAGGCATTCATTAAAACAACACACATGCAAGGAAAAGCTCAGTATCTTCGTCAAACTAACAGTCTGTTGGCTTACTTTAGTTCACAGGTCACCACTTTGTGACCTCTAACCCCACTCTCAAATCCTGTATCGTATAAATAAGAAAACAAAATTAAGCAGGGGGATGAAACACAAACCAATCAATGACAGGGGGACTATTAACTAAAAATATGTGTGAGCCCTTTAAGCTACACCGAAACAAAGTCTTGGCAAGCATTCTTGCATTGAAATGACTGACCAGATTTTGTACTGATACTATGCTACAGCCTTAACCAAGTCTACAAAAAGCAGAATCTAAATAATCCTGAATAAATGGGACGAATGGTAGTTAAATTCACAAATGTATTGAAAAGAAAAACCTGGGACAAAATGTTCTTTCATTTTTACAAAAGATTAAATTACATCCTTAAAATAATTACTAATATTGTGATAACTTCAAAACAAACAAGAAGTCTTCACACAGGGATATGTGCCTTGTTATGAGAGGAGAGTGAAGTTTTCCACTAGCATTTCTCTCTTGCAGCTCTTCCCTTCTTGCCATTCCTCTGACCTCTAAAATCTATGGTACATTCTAGGCCCTTTAAACATGGCAGACCCTACTGCCCTATTTGGCCTATAAAAACCACTGAAGATGAAAACGCCTGGCCAGACAGTTCCTCACCTGAGCAATCCTGTTGATGTCTGTTCCCTACTTTCTGGCTCCTATGTCAAGTTGGATTGATTGATTGATTGACTGATTTAGAGACAGAGTCTCACTCTGTCACCCAGGTTGGAGTGCAGTGGTGTGATCTCGGCTCACTGCAACCTCCACCTCCTGGGCTCAAACAATCCTGCCACCACAGTCCCTCAAGCAGCTGGGACTACAGGTGCACACCACCACACCTGGCTGATTTTTGTATTTTTTGTAGAGACTGGGTTTTGCCATGTTGGCTAGGCTGGTCTCGAACTCCTGAGCTTAAGTGATCCACCTGCCTCGGCCTCCCAAAGTGCTAGGATTACAGGCATGAGCCACTGCACTGGCCCCTACTTCAAGTTCTGTATACTAATTAGTGTGTTTCTTTCATGCTTTTCATTTGCTAGACTTTGAGTCTTTTCTTTCACTCAGCAGAGAACATAGTATCTTTCACTTCCTAACTTGTGGTTTCAGGTGAGAAATTCCCTGCAGTGGAGCCTGGCCTTGTAGAACCCTGACACCTAGCCTAGTTCTCCCCCTCACTTTGTGTCAAGGTCAGGAGGATGACCATGCTTGACACAAAAGAATGACTCACCAGGGTAGAGCCAGAGACAGCAATAAAACAGATATTTTGAGATGGGGAATTTTCCCGATGACCCTTAAAAAAAATCGACCATACTATAGGTTAAGTCTGCTTTTCATCTTTATTTTGTTCTAATCTGGTAAAGATATTGGATTTTAAAGATATTGAATATCAGAGCAATGTATGTTTTAACATTCCAGTATTAAATTTTATCTGAAATCTCAGAAGCACTGGTAGTGTTCTCAGTCATCTTAGACAAATGAAATGGAATCATTGTTAGGAGTGAGTACACTATTTGGACAGCTGCTCATCAAACATCATTCAGTCTGTCACTAAGAAGTTCCTACACAGGTATTTACCTGTAATATAATCTCTCTAGAACACAAAGCAAACCTTGATGTTTGCTGAGATTTTCATTGTCACACATTCATTGTTTATATATCGTTCACACAGTTAATTGTAATATCATGTCACCACGTGTCCTAGCTCTCAAGAGGCGAGAAAGGTCACTGTCGCATTTTCATGCAGTTTCTCATCTGGCAGTTGGTCATGCAACTCTTGTGTAAACACTTCCAGAGACAGAGACTTTCCTGTCTTGCAGGGCAGTCTATTCCCATTGCAGGATAGCCCAAAGTTACGCAAGTTATGAAATTCTTCTTTATAACAAGATTAACTATTTCTCTCAACAACTTTCTCCATGTTGTTCTAGAATCCAGAATGGCAAATATCTTCAATAATGGAAATAAATCTGGGCCTACAGAAAGTCGAAATTAATAGTCCTCAATTTGTGGGATAAGAGAGATGCTAAGAATAATGGAATCACCAATAAATAGCTATTAAAAACAAAAGTCCAATTCCCTCCTGTCAAGACATTCTGATATACTAAGTGTGTATATGCATG